CACACATGGCTGGGAATTACGTTAAGTGAGCTTTTTAGGTTGACAGAGACACTCAGATTACCTTTAGTGATGAGGGATTGTGGTGAAGATGTGCAGGCAAGTCGGAAGAGGAAACAGTGAGCCGTTAACCAGTCCTCAGGGGTCACAGTGAGGGGGCAGTGTTCAGGGGACACAGCCGTGCTAGCTGCTGCTGCTGCCACCCTCAGATCAGGGCTTCTTGTTCTCCCCTCAAGGAGGGATCGTCTTTGCTTAGTAGTCTCAAGTTCGACTTTCTGTCCTTGAGTTTGTTGCTTTTTTTTTTTTTTTTAATTTCTCCTTACCCCCAGCCATTCTCCCTGCCATTGTGGTGTACATTCCAGCTCTCTCAAAAGAGATTCAGGTTGGCCTGACAGAGAGTGAGAAAAAAATTTCAGGTCAATTAACAGAAAACCAAACTGGCAGTAGCTTAAACCAATAGCGCAATAGCGCTTTAATTTTCTCCTGTAACAAGAGTCCAGAGGTAGGCGGTTGCAGATATCCGTTCAGCTGCTCAATGCTTACATCGACTTCTCAAGCCTTCTATCTTTCTAGTCTTCCATTTTTAGCTGTTGGCTTCTTATCTTCGATCATGTTGCCTCATGGTGGCAAGGTGACTGCTGTTATCATGTGTCTAACTTAGAAGGCAGGAAGATTGGGGGAGGAGCAAGGCTCTCAAGTTCTCCTGTGGCATCTATCATATGCTCACACACACACACAGACTTCTGCTTATGTCTTATTTACCAGAAATGTGTCATATGATGACATGTAGCTGCCAGGAAGGTTGGGAAAGTGAGTATTGAGGTTTGACAGCCTCTATCATGGGAAGGCAGCAAGGCAGAAGGATATTAAGAAAGGTTATCAGCCGTCAGGTAGTGAACAAGGTCTGCCACAGTTGACATCTTGCACATGGCATCTATGTTAGGCAATGCCGCGAGACAAGACATCTGCTAAAAGACTTTGCAGTCAATGGATAACTGTCTTGGAGTCAGAGGTTGATCTGATATGATCAGATGTCAGCACAACAGCTTTCCTTGTGTGCAGGGCAAGCACTAATAGTCCTCTGGTACCAGTGTGATATACAAACGTCTAATTTCTCATCAGTGACCCAATTATAGCTTAGTCAACCATAAATTTAACTGTGTCTGCCAAAATCCCACATCTATTCACAAGCTTGTTTTGTTCATTCATATATTTATTCAATAAATATTAGTGTAATGCTGGGTGCTTATCTAGGTACAGGGGATATGGCAGTTAAAAAAATAAGGAGCTTACTTCCCAGTGGAAGAGAGAGAGAACTTATGCTCCAGTAACCTCATTGTTCTCTTTGGTAATGATTAGCACAATTGTAGTACGTATATATTTGTGGAGAGAGATACATATATCTCTGCATATAGATGGTAATAAGTGCTATGGTGAAAACATAAGTAAGAGGCAGTGTAGAGGCATGGGTAAAGTGTGAGAGGGTAGGGGAGCATTAGGTATAATTTATAGAATAATTAGAATTCAGAACTAAATGCTTTAGCCACAAACTTTTCAATCTGCTGCCTTTAAAGGAAAATGAGCAGACATTTCTGCTCTAATGAAAAAAAGAAGGAAATACACAGAGCCAGGAGCCAAAAGTGCATAGTTTGTACTACACACTCAGTCTCTGTTCTCATTAGATCATAGTCTAATATCTTAAGTTATTTTATTTGGCCTATTAATTTTCTGTGCTGAGTGTGGCCTACAAAATGCAGCCTTAGCTCCTGAGTGGCACTTCAGTTTATACTTGGCTTTGGAATTATCCACCTCTTACTCTACATTGTTTTTTTGTTTTGTTTTGTTTTAAAAACTCACCAGAGGATATAGAGGGACCACCATGTATTTGGATATCCTCTAGCCCTTAGGCACAAGATTTTTACCAAGGCAACTGCCACTGCTCATTTGCCTTCTGTGTGGCTCTATAAGATTTATATATTGGAGTTTAAAGTATATTTATTAATCATCCTCCCACCTCTCTTACTAGCTTGTGAGCCCCAATCCCTCAGTTTTGTCCAAACGAATTCCTTCCTATCCTTCAGGTCATGGTATAATTATAACTGCCTTAAGAAAGAATTTCCTTAAAACTTAGACTACACTAAGTTTCTGTTTATTCTCCTATAAATCCATTGTTCTCCTTGATAAGGATTACCACAATTTCAGTATTTATTTATGTAATAGTTTGATTAAAACTTGTTTAATCCCTCATAGACTATAAGCACCATGAAGGCAGGGGCCATATCTCTCTTACTCAGCTCTATATCTCAATGTATAACAGGGTTATATATAAAGAGTGGTGGCACCCAATAATATCTAGTAAATTACTAAATATCCTTAGTCTCCAAGTGACTAGAAAGGTGCCTCAGAAGGACAGGTACTATTGTGAATGCTGATTATGAAGTTCTGCCCACAATCCCCTTTAAGAACAGAAGATTTAGCCTCATCCCCTCTTTGCTGTTGGGAGTACTGCTGGTAAAAACCCTTAACTATCAGCATTCTTTGGATAATGCCTCAGTTAAAGTAATGGACAAGCCCAAATCATGTCCCCTTTCAGGGGTGGTTTGTATCCAATGACAAATCAATGTTGGGAGTTGAAGGACCAGCCACTCATATCAACTCATGATACCTCTAAAAGACTATTCCAGTTCCAAGGGCTCAGCTGAAGCCTTTGTTAGGATGACATCACAGATCAGTCTCTCCCTCTCCTCCATTCTATTTCTTCCACCTCCTTTCACAGAGGTTGATCCCAAGAGCACACAACAGCATGTCCTACATGCTAATCTCCCCTGTAGAGTCTACCTCATGGGTAACCCAACCTGTGATGGCTACTAAAAAATGTTTACTGAACTGAATTAAATTTTTTTTAAAGATTTTATTTATTTATTTGACAGAGAGAGACAGCCAGAGAGGGAACACAAACAGGGGTAGCGGGAGAGGGAGAAGTAGGCTTCCCGTTGAGCAGGGAGCCCGATGGAGGGCTCAATCCCAGGACCCTGGGACCATGACCTGAGCCGAAGGCAGACACTTAACGACTGAGCCACCCAGGCGCCCCTACTGAACTGAATTAAATATTATGTTCTGTCCTACTCCAGCAAAGATCAGCTCTTATTCATCCCGACATTCTTGCAATGACTAGGTGCCTTTCATGTAGTGAGTGCTATTGTTTGAATGTTTGTGTCCCCCCAAAATTTATATGTTGAAATTCTAACTCCCAAAGGGGATGGTATTAGGAAATGTGGCCTTTGGGAAATGCTTAAGTCATGATGGAAACCTCACGAATTGGATTAGTGCCCTTATAAAAGAGACTCCAGAGAGCTCACTCCCTCTCCCATCATGTGAGGGCAGAACTAGAAGTCTCCAACCCAGAAGGCAGCCCTCACCTGATAATGCTGGCACTTTGATCTTTGACTTCAAGCATCCAGACTTCAGGAAATGAAATTCTGTTGCTTATAAGCTACTCAGTCTGTGGTATTTTGTTAAAGCAGCCTGAACAGACTAAGACAGTGGGCATCATAAATACCAAGGTATTCCCCAAAACTTGGTCTAGATAGAGGTAAAGCATCCCTATTCAAAGTGTGGTCTTAGAGCCAATGGCCCTGGCATTCTCTGTATATTGTTACAAATGCAGAGTCTCAAGGCCCAACTGAATCAGACCAATTGAATTAGAATATGCATTTTAACAAGATCCTCAAGTGGTTCATATGTTCATTGAAGTTTCAGAAGTACTGAGCTAAGAGATTTATTAATATAAAAAAACAATCCTGTTAATAATTCCTTTCTAGTTTGTACAGCATCTTAGCTTTTTTCTCCCTAAAATTTTGCTTAATGCTAGCGCAATCATGCATTCCTTTATTCAACAAGTACCAACCAAGTGCCAAAGATTTCAGGGTGATGGAGCTTACATTCCAGAAGGAGGAGAAAATAAACATCGATAGGCGCGGTATCAGACCGTGTGAGATAAGGAAAGTGCCATGAAAAATGAGTAGGGCAGGATAAGGTAAGGTGAGAGTAGCTGAGTTGTGATTTCAAATTTCTGCAGAGCCATGATAAGAAGATACTTGAGGCAGGTGAGGTAGTTAGCCATATACATATCTGAGCACAAGCCTGGAGTGCTCTAGGAAGGCAGAGGCCGTTTGGCTGAACAGGAATGTGAGAAACGCAGAGTAATATGGTCAGGGAGGAAAGAGGGCAGATCACATGATGAGAGGCTGCTTAATAAATCGCTACGTGATACGTAATCGCTGAAAAGAAAACACAAGTTGCTTTTACTCCAAGGATGAAGTAGTTCTTGGCCAAGCCAGTTCTACGTAGGTTGTGGAAGTCTGCACAAACCGTTTCACCACTGAAGCTTTAATTTCCTCAAATACAAATGCAGGGATTAGAGAAGGCATTTAGGGTTCTTCCGGTTCTAAACCCTCAGGCTTCCAGACGCCTTGATGGCGAAGTCTAACAGGCTTAAAGTAAGGATCATGGCTGGGTTGCGGCCTCAGGAAAAGTTCTGCAACCCCTGAACACTGTAAAAACAGGAAGAAGAATCGCGGAAGGTGGTGCCAAATCGAAAGAACCTAACCTTTGGATCCAAGTTCCTCATAAACCTGTGAGCCCTTGTCACGACCACAGACTTTCACGCTCTTAACGCCTCCAGGAGCCCCTGGAGCCGACTTCTCCGGGCCTTCCCGTGCTAGTCTTGCCTCCCAGCCAACGCCCGGTTTGGCAGTCCCTATTCCCGTCTTCCAGGCTCACGTGCCGGTTCCCAGCCGCCAGCCCCGAGATGATGCCCTGACCACGCCTAACGGCTCTGGCCCCGCCTCCCTGTCCTGGCCCCGCCTCACGGCTCTGGCCCCACCTCCCCGCCACGGCCCCGCCTCCCCACCCCGGCCCCGCCACTACGTGCAAGCCCGGCCTCCCCTTGGAGCGCTGGTCTGCTGGTCCGGAAGTGACGCGAGGCTCCGGCTGCAGGCTGGACGCCCGCATTCTCTCAGGGCCGCACCCTGAGTCAACCCCGGGCAGCATGGCTCTGCAACTTTTGCTCCTCCTCGTCTTGCAGGCCGGGAGCTGGGCTGAGATGAGCCTCGCGGATCTGGAGCTGTCTTCGGGTACGTCGCTCGTGGGGGGGCGGCGGCCAGGTGGGGATGGGACTAGGGAGGGAGTCGCCCGGGTCTGGAAGCACGGCCCCGCGGGGTCGCGTCCTCGTTGGCCCTGGGACGTCTGCGTGGGCGGCCGTGGGGAAGGCCACTCCGGGCGTCCGCGGTCAGCGGACTTCAGTGCCCTTTCTCTCGGCTCTTCCGTAGTTGCCGAAACGGCAAAACAGCCTCTCGGTCTTCCAGTTCTTTTAATTCATTTTTAACTAAGTGAGTTTCTCGGTCAGCATTTGGACAGTGTGGCCAGCGCTCGTGACTTAAATATTTTTAGGGTAAACCCAAAATCCTTAAGAGAGAAGTTGTTCTCCCCCCATTATGAGAATCCTTAAGTGGCAGGGATTGGTCATCTTACGTCTAAGTCTGGCAGCCGTGCGGCGTGAACTTGGGAGCAGATTTGTCAGGCTGTACATCTCTTAGCTTAGTTCCTCGGAGCTTGTTCTGCCTGCTCACTGCGATTTCCCCGGAAATAAATGCAGGGAATACGGTTTCCAGAGCTCGGTTGTCATGGTGATTAGGAGCCCCAGTGAGATCAGTGAATCTCTTCTGCAAGAGGGTTAAATCTAAAGCATCAGAAACCCCTCAGTCTTGAGTGTCTCTGCTCAGTATCCACAGTTAGCAGTTGCCTGGAAGGGGTCGGGGAGGCCCCGCCTTCTGCATCCTTGGCAAAATCTGGGTCCGAACCTCTATTATGACTTCATCTGTGCGCTCCATTCATATCCACCTGTCCTTTGGCTTGCTCTTTAAGAGGCAAGCAGACAAATACTTAGTTTTTCCTTGGGACATTGTTCCAGATGTTGGGAATACAAAAATGGGAGTTATTCAGTTTTTGCTTTCAAGAATCACGATTATATAGCTAACAGTTACTAAGCCCTAGGCACCGCTGTTAACTTATCACATCTCATTTTCACAACAACCGGTATCTCCATTAATGGATGAGATATCGAGGCACAAGTTCTGCCCCGTTCGTAGAGCGGTCACTGCTGCTCAGTAAGGGAGCCTGCAGTTGGGCTCCAGAGTCCAAGTTAACCACCCTGCAGGCTGCCATTACCTAGAGCAAGTTAGTCATCTACAAGGGCAATTGCAGTGTATTGTGATAAGAGCCTGGACTTTCGCACAGGCTACTGGAAAAGCAAGATAGAGGTACCTGGGTATGACCAGGGGAATCAGGAAGGACTTCACAGAGAAAGATAATAACCCCAGAGTTGGAGCTGGAGCTATAGAGAGACTTGTGTGAGCAGAGGGAGAGGTGTGAAACAGCATGTTGAATTAGTGGAATACTAAGGGTTTCATTGTAGAATATGTGTGTGAGGTTACAAGGGGAGATAAGATAGGTAGAGAGGTGGGAACCCAGTAAATGAAGTGCCTTGTCATGTGTAACAAACAACAAAGGATGGCAACGTAACATTAGCCAAGATAGGCAAATTGGGGGATTTATTGGCTTAGAGAATCCAAGCAAGAGTTAGAAAGGTAGAGATACCACCTGGGCCTCAGAAAGCTGAACCAGTCACTCAGAAGTGCAAAGACTATTTCTTATTACTGACTCTGGGTGTGGACAGCTTTTCCTACTTGGCAGGAATCATGGATGTGGACAGCTTTTGGGCTTTGCATCTTGCAGCTTCCGCCATCCTAACAAAATCCCAGGAGAAGGCTCTGATTGGCACGCTTGGGTCAGGCACCAGATTGCCGGGGAAGGACCATGTTGCAGGAGGTGGCGGTAGGGGAGTTTCCAGAAGAGAAATATTCCTGAAGGAAGTACAGGTGCTAGGCCAACAAAGTAAGTATGTTCACTATACCTTGCTCTGGTTGGTGGGTGGTCAATGGATTATTTGAAGAGGAGAAATGATTTTACGCAGGATTGGTTAGGCCATTTAGAAAGACTGTTCATCTTACACAATAGTTTGGGGGTAGACTCGAAGGAAGGAGGCCAGTTAAGTTAACTGCTTAAGTTGGGATGAGTCAGTGAAAATGGCAGTTTAAATGCAGAAGAGAGGACAGTTTGAAGAACATTTAAAAGGCAGAGTCAGTGGGAGTTGGTGATTGGGTGTGGGAAGAGAATGGCTCGGATTCCTGGTTTAGGTAGAGCATTAAACCATGTGCCATGCCCTTTCTGAGTACAGACAGGGTCCTCCTAAGCCAGGTACCCCTAGCTTAATTTCCAGTAGCCTGTGCAAAAGTCCAGGCTCTTACCACAATGTACTGCAGTTGCCCTTATAGACGACTAACTTGCTCTAGGTAATGGCAGTCTGCAGAATGGTTAAGAACGTGGACTCTGGAGCCCAACTTCCGGCTCCCTCCTGAGTAGCAGTGACCTCTGTACAAACTGGGCAGACCTTTGTGCCTCGATTTCTCATCCATTAATGGAGAGACTGGTTATGAAATGTGAAAATGAGATGTGATAAGTTAACAGCGGTGCCTAGCACTTAGTAACTGTTAGCTACATAATCATGATCCTTGAAAGCAGAAACGGTACCTTCCATGTTTGTATTCCCAACACCTAGAACAATGTGGGGCCTCTTGTGATTACACAATTTGCACATCCTTGAAGCCGGCTCTGGGAGTATTGCCTGTCTGCTCCCATGGGAACATCTCCTATGGCCTTTTGTACTCCAGCATTTTGTAAACACAAGTGCCAGTGACCCCCCCCTTTTTTCAGTGCATTTTCAATACATTTGTCTAGACTTTTCAGTGTATTTCTCTAGCTTGTGTTGTGTTCCCTATGCTTTTAAAGTTAGTTTAAAATAGAAAGTCTGCAGAGAGTAGGAGGAAAACCCTCAAGGACAACCTACTTCTGGCTCTTGGCTAGCTAGCTTCCTTGTCTCACTAGTGCCTGACATTTAATAGGCCCTCAGTGTGTTAATTCTTAACAGTGTTGGGTTTCACTGTATGCTTGATAGTTCATCTTAGATGAGGGAACCTGGTAGGAACAGGGAAGCAGGCAAGAGAACGTAGTCAGTTCCTGCAAAGTCCAAAGTCCAAGTGGCTAGGAATGTATCGTGCCACAGTGATGGGCTTTTGTTAGTATTTCTTAGTGAATGGATAGGGAAAATAAACCCATGTGTGCTGTCTAATAATCGGATATTTTGCTTTTCATCCAGTTTTACCTATAAAAGCAGTATATATATATATTTTTAAGTGAAGCAGTGTCTGCCTTCTTGCTGTTTGCTCTTCCACTCTGGGTATTAGTAATACTCAAGAGCACACTGTATACTTTCTCACATAGACGTGGGGCTCTTAAGTTGCCTTCTCCACTGAAAAGTGGAGAAAGTCTCTTTTCCGATAACCATGTCAGTCATGTCCATTCCAAAGAAATGATTTCCTTTAATGCATTGTTCAGATTTTGCAGTGGTCATCATATAATTGTGATAGTATAATAAATCAGGCAAAACTACTTCAATTAGATGCATGTGAAGTCATCAGAAAATAATCATTTCCAATTCCTATTAATATATGGAGGTCATTTTCTTATTTTTGTTAAACTATCACAAAAATGATGCCTAAATAGCTTTTCTTAACTAAAACCAACAAACCTTTATAGACTGCCAAATCTTTAAATAGCTTCTCTAAGCCTTTGTTCGTTCATTGGTAAAGATATGTATAATAATATCACCTCCCTCATAGAATGGTTTGTGTTGGTTCATTGAGGCAGTATATAACAATGGAGCACATTGCCTGTCTTGTAGTAAATGTTTAATCTACACATTAGAGATTACCATTCAATAATGTTCATTGTTATTTATTTTAACAAATATATTTTAAAATATTAAATTGTTGTGGTTGTATATGAGAGATTGTGGTACCTTTAAAAAAAAAAAAACTCATCCAAATCAGTATGAGAAATTTAAAATAGATTCAGCAACTAATTTGTTCTTCTACCTTTCCCCTGTTTTTCATAGACTGAAAAAGACTCTAGTTTTTCAGTTCCTATTTCTCAACTTAGAGTGAATTAGTCCAAATGGGAATTAGTCTTGAGAAATGACTTCTCTCAGGGACTAGGTGGGTCTGGTCCAATTAGAATTTATTGGCATGCCAAGCAGACCCATCTAGATAAAATTGAATAGGAACACATATAAAAATCCTGCATTTTAGGTCAGAAAGTGGCTAAGCAGATATTTATTGGATAAGTTCTAACTTGGTGGTTTGAGTAAAAGATCTGGGGGGATTTTAGATAATTACAAATTCAGCATAAGCCACTATTTGATATGTCCATCTCTTTAAAAAAAGAGGAAGGAAAATATTTCATTCATGTCTGTTATATTCTGGGCTCCACAACTTAAGAGAGTGAGTGATAAAATCAGAATAAATCCTGAAGACAAACAGGAAGAAGAGAAGACTGCAGACATATTAACAGTTTTGACCCAGCTAAGAACAATTTTATGGAAAGTAATAATTTATTATTTTATTACTTATGATAATTTTATTATTTGAACCCTTAGCTCTGAATCTCTTCTAAAGGTATAAGAAAATAATAGAAGTAGAAAATAGATTTTTGTATTCATCTCACAAAATGATGGACGATTGAAAGCCCGAAAATATTGCAGTGTTTTAATGAAAAAACTTTTATAAACACTTGAAACATGTGCAAGAATTCTCAAAATGTCTTTATTCATCTTAAATCTAGAAGACACCGCTGCTTGCTAAGAGAAAAATTTGGAAGGCATTAAGAAAATAACTATTTTATCAACACCATAAAACCATTCAGGAGGTGTTGATTGTGATCTATAAATCTATTCAGAAAAAAAATTGCAGAAGTCTTGGTTTGATATTTCCCCCTTTTCCTCTCTGGATTTCTCATGCCATTTCTCAGTTTGCAATGTAAGAAGAAACCTTTGACCATATTCATGGCCCTGCCTGCATCTTTCACTAGGGAAAAGGTGTTAGAGCTTTTCTCTGAGTTGTTCATTCACAAAAGGGTCTGGATGCTTTAATTTGGAGCATTTCTTTTTGAGCTGTAGTGTCAGATGGCTTAGAATGCCCTGACACAATTTGATTGCTGGCCACTTTATCCTTAGTCCTTTCCCATAGAGAGGTGGGTAAGCAGATTGTCGGAGGGTGTCTGCAGACCCCAGAGCTCCGCTCTTTGGTAGATGTACCTATCTTTTATACAGTATTTGTAGGCGATTATGTTAAAATTGGGGAAGAACTTCTGTGGCTGTGCCTTTTGTAGCAGAGGCACAGATGCCCTTGGTGGTTATGGGATGGAGGACACGCGGCAGCCCGTACTCCAGTCATCATGCAGAGGAAATCTGGAGATGTCTATAGTTCCTTGCTTGACCAGCAGTTACAACAGAGCTGTTCTTTCTGGTTGAGGTTTTCTGGTCTTACGTGACATCCCCATTGCCCTGTCTTGTGGCACTGCTTCTTCACCTCACATACTGATCTTCATCAGTTTTTCTGTCGTCTTCCTTGCTCTTTTTTCATATCCTGTCTCTCCCAGTTTATCAAGAGGAAACAGTTGGTTGTAACCAGAACTCTCCTTTTTCCCCCCCTGCACTGTAGAGTGTTATAAAAAACTGATTGTTCTTTACTGTGTTTGGTTTTGTTAAAGCCTCAGCTGTTCTAGAGACATTCTGAGAAGCAGATTTGAAAACAGTGAATGTTTATTCTAGGTAGCATGCACCAAATAACGGAACTCATTTCCAAAACAACATGAGTTACAGAAAACTATCTGTATCATTTTCAAGAGATGGAGAAATCTGTAAGATTATTTTATTTGATGAGATACTCTAGTAGGATCTTTCTTTAGACTCCACAGATAATCCTTTCTTGCTATTCTACACATATTTTTATTGACATAGGTAAATTTATTTTGGATGGAAGTTTGCTGTAAGCCTTAATTATTTTAATTTGAATATAAAACAATTTAAACGTTAGGTCACAATATTATGAAACAGTAGAAAACTACTCCTATTTATCATGCGAGTTTTGCAGAAAGTGACAAAGGCAGATGTGTAATAACCACATGGTTTCTCTTCTGGTAGTATTAAAACCACAGGCTACATCCTTTGGTGTCTATATTCAAAGTTTCTCCTTTAATAGAATGGTAAAGTCTCTTAGTATCCATTGAAACCTCCTTCCTCCCACGACCTGTCTTGATTGCTTTGAAAGCTGTGATTTAAGCCCCAGTTCTAATCAAACCAAGTCAAGCTTTAACTTAAATTATGGGAAACATCATTTGATTCACATTAAAAACTAATGTGCAAGTCTACTTTGTGGTTTTATAACTATGATTCAGTAACCTCTTCTTAAATGTAAATGCACTTTATTTAATATTCTATATGCCTTTCCCTCAAATACAGGAATCTCAGCCCGAGTCTATACAATTAAAAAGTCATTACTATTGGGAATAATTTTTTTTTTTTTTTTAAAGAGACTTAAAAGGCAGTGAAGAACTCCTCATTACTGGAAACTGGAAGCAGGCACGTCCTTGTTACCAGAGGCAGTAAGTTTAGCAACACTGTTGCCTTTGGTAACAGGAAGAGTAGGAAATGTGCCTGGTGAGCTTCTAGACCTAGCCAGGGAGGTTGCCAAGCAGTGCCAAAGGTGCCGGGTGGTTTCTTCTTGCTTCTTGTAGTTAAAATTCAAGACTAGAAAGAGTAACCAAGAGAAGAACTGTTAAACAAAAAGGAACCAGAACCAGAAGGTTTGAAAATTATCAGCCTCGGGCGCCTGGGTGGCTCAGTTGGTTAAGCGACTGCCTTCGGCTCAGGTCATGATCCTGGAGTCCCGGGATCGAGTCCCACATCGGGCTCCCTGCTCAGCACGGAGTCTGCTTCTCCCTCTGACCCTCTTCCCTCTCGTGCTCTCTATCTCTCATTCTCTCTCTCTCAAATAAATAAATAAAATCTTTAAAAAAAAAAAATTATCAGCCTCTGGAGAGGCAAAAGATGCTAAAGTTAAGGGATGGCTTTTGAGAGACGTTCGCATTCATTGTGAGTTTTCTTAGCATCAGGTTCCTCTCATCTGGTTGAAAATAATGTTTATCTGTATGAATATTATTATTTTTTATTAAAGATTTTATTTATTTGAGAGAGAGAGAGCATGCACGGCGCAAGCAAGCATGAGCAGGGGATGGGACAGGGGGCCATAGGGATTGATCCCAGGACCTTGGGCTCATGACCTGAGCCGAAGATCAGATGCTTAACTGACTGAGCCACCCAGGTGCCCCTATGTGAATGTTATTTGATATTGATGTTGACTTGAACCTGGGGGATGAGGGTGGTGCCTTGTATTTCCTCCTCACAGACTATAAGCTGTTTGAGAGTAGGTCGTTTCATGAAGTTGAGGTGCAAACATATGAAAACATATCTAAAGAAACCTAGAAAAAGGAAGCCTCAGTACACCCTGCTAAGTAAGGCCATGGGAACTCTACCAAAACCAAAAGAGAAGAACCAGGGCTAAGTCTGCCAAGACCAGTGGTTTCTGGCTCACCTGCAAGGAAATTGCTTAGAGAACCAAAGATGCTAGGTACCAACAGCTGTCAGCAGTATTTCAGGAACAGTAAATAGAACACTTGTAGGTGTCTGATCACTGGCTGCAGAAAGAGCATATTATAAGCATGTGGTGTTTGAATCGGTGAGACATCCTCCCAGCTTCATAATCTCAACCTTTTGGCACAAATTGTCACATTGCTTTGGTAAGTAGTTATAGAAGTTAGACAGTTGGGCAGTAACCAAAGCTATTCATTGTGGGAATGCTATGAAATATATTGGTTTATCCAAAAAAAAAAAAAAAATCTGTTTTTAAGTCAGTTTTTCCTCCTAAATAATAATAAAAAATTCCTAAAGTTGTGAACATATGAAGCAGGGTTCCTCAACTTTAGTGCTATTGGCATTTTGGACTGCCAAAATGTGGAGAGCTGTCCTGTGCATTTATTAGAATACTTAGCAACTTTGGCCTCTATTCTGGAGATGCCAGCAGCAGCCTACCACTATCACCCAGTTGTGAGAACCAAAAATGTCTCTAGACAGTGCCAAATGTCCCCTGCAAGACAAAAATCGCTTCCTATTGAAAACCACTGATATAAGGGAAAAAAGTAACCAGAAAAGGGAGGAAACAGGCAGTAGAATTTAATTGTCCACAAGTTCATATTTTTTCCCTAAATAATTCTGAATCTGTGTTCTGCCTTAAAAAGGTAATACGAGTGTTAAATAATTGTAAATTAAAGCAATGCACCAGTTTGGGTTTGCATATTGGAATTTTTGCTTTGGGAAAAAATATAGTAGGTGTTTCCTTCAACAGTAAGCAAATACCGTATGTATGTGAAATTAACACCTCACATACCAGATTAGGAAATCTGAAATGACTAATTGTATAGCCAGGAAGGAACCCACATTTCCTAATCTCCAACCCAGGGAATATTTTTCTTATTAGAGCAGTCCAGTTTATATAATCCCAAATAATCATCATTATCAGCTGGGGAACTTTTATTTTTATTTTTTACTTTTATATTTTTTTAAATATTTATTTGAGAGAGAGAGAGCACTAGGGACAAGTGCAAAGGGAGAAAGAGAATCTCAAGCAGACTCCCTGCTGAGCGCAGAGCGTAGAGCCAGATGCGGGGCTCGATCCCAGGACCCTGAGATCATGACCTGAGCCTAAATCAAGAGCCGGGTGCCCAACCAACTGAGCCACCCAGGTGTCCTGTGCTGGGGAACTTAAAAAAAACAAAACAAAAAACAACTTTTGGCTCTCTCAGAGTTTTTGAGGCAGATGATATGTTTGGAAGCCGCTGTACCTGACTGCATTGCCATTCATTCATTTATTTTAATTGTGATTGTAAATTATGTTTAATGGTTGTCAGATAGGAAGGATTGAATAATCTTGAAGTTGGGATCATATCACCAACTCTGTATCTTCATATTCATTCATAAGGAAGGGATGGAAAGAAGGAGGGAGAGAGAGAGAAAAGGAGAAATGGAGATGTATGTGTGTGAGTGTTTCCCAAGGGGTGGTGGACAGCAGCCTTTGCCCTTGAGCAAGGGAGTAAATGGCCGCTTTTAATAACTAGTTACAAGATGTTAAAGTGACTTCTGCCCATTCTCTCGTGTGACTCACAGCTCAGTAGACGTTTTCTTTTTTTTTTTTAAAGATTTTATTTATTTACTTATTTGACAGAGAGAGACACAGTGAGAGAAGGAACACAAGCAGGGGGAGTGGGAGAGGGAGAAGCAGACTTCTCGCTGAGTAGGGAGCCTGATGCAGGACTCGATCCCAGGACCCTGGGATCATGACCTGAGCCGAAGGCAGACGCTTAACAACTGAGCCACCCAGGCACCCTCAGTAGATGGTTTCTGAAATGGTTTAAAGGAGCAAAGGCAAGAATATTGAGTATGTTTTGTAAAAAGCCCTGCAAACCCCAGAGAGCAAAATGTTAATGGAACTGACAAGGTGGGCGGCTTAGGCTTCTATTCCTGTGTTACAGAAAAGGTGCTGAGGTGTGTGATGATACCAGGCAGAGGGCTTCCAGCCTACAGGGTATTTTAGAATGAAATTGACCATCCCTGGGGGGGTAGCCAGTTCTCCGCTAGCCTTTGAAGGCTATCTGTGGTATCAAATGTAGGAAATTCTAGTGATTAAATGAATTGAGCATGATTATTACAACAGGCAGAGAATTTATTTATAAAAACTCCTAAAACATAATAGGGATTGATTGCCTCTACTATATTTGTATTTCTCTCATACTACCATATTGTTTCAGGAATTTAAAATGGATCAGAATGCTACACATTTTCGAATAAAATTAATTTTTATAAATCTCAATTTAAATAATTATGTTTGTCCTGGTGAATTCTACTTCAAAGTACATATTTGGCTAACTAGGCTCCTTATAAAGTTTTCTAATATTAATATGAGTTTCTTACAATTGTCCATTTTACTTTTTGAATCTCTTACAGTGCCGATACCAACCAATATTAAAATTGAGGCCTATAACTTTAATACTGTCCTATTGTGGGACTACCCAACCATGCCACAGACCCCTGTTTTTACTGTACAGGTAAAGAACTATGGGTAAGTGTTACTCTCTCATCTTTTTTATTCTGTTTTTGTCTAGGTCTCTCTACTTCCCATAACTTTGTGTTTTTTCCCGTCATCTTTCTTTCCCATGTGGCAGAACTTCTTAAACTGCTTGTAGACTTCCAGAAGTGCTAAGGATGCAAATTATTTATTTTCAGAGTACTTCCTGCCTCTTAGTTCTTCTTCCCGTCAGAATTGAAGTAGAGGAGTCTAACTTTCAAGACCTTTTAAAAGATTTATTTATTTGAGAGAGAGTGTGAGCATGTGTGCATGCTATTGGGGGGCAGGGAGAGAGAGAGAGAGAGAGAGAGATTCCTCCAACAGACTCCACGCTGAGCAGGGAGCTCAACATGGGACTCAGTCCCAGGACCCTGAGATCATGACCTGCCCCCAAACCAAGAGTCGGACACTGAACCGACTGAGCCACCCAGGCACTCCAGGAATTAGAGATTTTTGAAAGGCATGACAAATAAAACTTACAGTTCTGTATTAAAAGTAATGATGTCGGGCGCCTGGATGGCTCAGTTGGTTGGGCATCCAACTCTTGATTTCAGTTCAGGTCGTGGTCTCGGGGTCCTGGAATCCAGCCCCACGTTGGGCTCTACTCTCAGCATGGAGTTTGCTTGTCCTTCTTCCACTGTTCCTACACACACACTCTCTCTCTCTCTCTCATAACTAAATAAAATCTTAAAAAAAAATAATGATGTCCTCTTACTTTCCATAGTGAATGTATTGTTGAATAGAAAGATAAAAATTTCAAAAAAATTTTTGACAAATGTCAGGAGTCTTTGTAATGCGTTAGATTCTGCAGTAAAGTAGTGATTATTTATGTTAATAGAATCTAGAGTTATTTAAAGATCAGATTTTTAAAAATTGTATGTGGAATGTACTTTGTTCAGGTGTTGTATTTTGAAGTGAGCCTCTTTATTGTAAAGGAATTTCTAGTACTTCTAACCAGAGTAAGGGCTTCCTACTTTGTCTGGCTTCTCCACCCTATTCTTGTTCAGCTCTTTCTACCAGCTCCATGCTGTAAATGAAAAACAAAGCAGAGACAGAGATGATTCAAGTTTATATATTAACAGTAAAAGTTACCATTGTGCTTCTTTATTCCTCATTGTTTTAGGGAAGCAATATGGATTGATGCCTGCAATACCTCTCATCATTATTGTAATATCTTTTCCGTAATTAATGATCCATCACTTTCTCTCTGGGCGAGAATTAAAGCTAGGCTTGGACAAAAAGAATCAGCCTATGCAGAGTCAAAAGAATTTATTTTATGTAAACAAGGTGAGTAGAACTTTTAAATTTGAAATGTTAAGTTTGAAAATACTTACCCATGTCTTCTGTACGTATTTGCTTTTATTAGCACTTGCTAAGAGTTATCACAATGCCCAAAGGCATTTCTTCCTCTTTCCCCAAGCCCCACAAAATAGAACTAAGAGGTACCCATCACTTTGCTGCTTCTAAACCATCACAATTCCACTCCCTGCAAGCACGGATCAGTGCTGCCCAGGTGGACTCTGTGGCGGCCTTCTCCCCGCTCTCCTCACAGCACTCCCTGCTGAGTTACACTCACTGAGGACAGCTCTCCCTCTTCCATCCTGTGCATCGTCCCCAGGGCCTCTGGGAATTTTATATACCAACTTAATACGTTAACTAATTTTAGATTTCTAGAATCTCCTCAACCCCAGTGATTTTTTTTAGCCTTTTCTCCTGCCAGCAACGCATTCCTGCAGTATACCTGATCTTAGTTATCACCTCAAGCTCCAAAATCTTCATTGCCAATTCCCCTTCTCTGACTGAAATCCTACCCTGTAGCTCTCACACCCTCACTCGTGGGTAAAGAAGCAATTAGTCACTTGACTCTTCCCTTGTGTTCTCAGCCTTGTGCCTTGCCCTCCACCTTCACTTCCTTCCTTGTTCAGCCTCCACGCTTGGTTTCGTCCACCACGGCCTTGCTTCTGCTCCTGCTTTTCAGATTGTGCCTACTTACAGGCCCTTCCTCTACTTGCCTTGAAATAATTTTATGTCCCAGAGTCCATGCCTGTCATCTGTTAACTATACCATCTGTATATCAGATTTTTCCCATACAGATTTATCAAGGGCATACTGTGTGCTAGAAAGTGTACCAGGCCCTGAGGGTAAATTAGCAAATAAACATAGGCCTGACTGGCACATAGTAAGTGTGCGATAAATGCGTGAAGTATAGGTAAATGGCTCACCAACAAAGTGTCAAGCATTGGTGATACATAATAAATATTTGTTGAATGAATGTCTAGTTTTGATTTTCACCATAAAAATTCAATGTATTTGGCAAACTTTCCTCAGAGCCTTCATGCCAGACATCCATAGATAGGTATTTGCAATACAAAGAGTTTCAGTGAGTGTTCAAAAGTAACTAAGATGCCTTTTCTGAAACATTTTTTAGAGAATAGGTTTTCTTTTTAATCTGCAGACCCACAGAAAAAGGAAGAATAACTTAAGAGAGCTTCTTTTATGTCAAGGTTTTTTAACAGGTTTCGTGACCTAACTGTTTACCTTTAGCATGAGAAGTGAATTGAAGTTGTTAAAGAGGAGTTTAGATTAGATAAAAATACTTCCTGCTTGAGATTAATTTAATATTTCTTATTAAGGACATTTAGAATATCTTCTAGATCTTTGTGGAATGGTTTAAACACGGTTCCGCTTTAGAACAGCCGAGCGAGTACGTTGATGGATTGATTTTGGAAGTTTTCTGGAACATGCTATAAAGTTCCAGGGGCAGTACTAATTCTGCTTCTTTTGGGTCCCTTCCTCCCCCCGCCGCCCCAGGGAACATTGGACCACCTGCAGTGGGTATCAGAAAGATGGAAAACCAAATCATCATTGACATATTTCACCCTTTAACTAATATAAGTGGAAGAGAGCCAGTACCCATCTATGATGAAAATAATTGTCACATATTCATGTACACAGTGGATTTGAGAATAAATGGAAGTAAGGTAGGTGTTTCTATTTCCTTTGTTCTGTTTCTCTGTTGCTAGCATAAGTTGTCTCTATATGTAGTGTAATGAAAGTACAATGCTTATGAACACTCAGGCAGGACTTACGGATCATAGATTTTGCCTATAAATAAATGTTGTTGAGGGGAGTTGGGATTGGAGTTAATCACTAATGCTGGGCAGATGAATACATTTAAGTTTTGTCTTGGCCTCATTTAACAGCATGGCCCTATTTTAGGATTTTAAACCTGTTTATTCCTATTTCTCCACTGGTAAGACAAAGATCATTTTAATCTTTTCTTCCTCATGGGTAGTGATGTAAAATAATAGGAAGCTGTAATTGGAATCCTTGTTTTTGAAAGAGAAAGTTAGCGATTCTGCTGTGGGGATATACTTGCATTCTGGCGCTGGTGTGCAGACCACACTTGGATTGGAATGATTCTAGCCCATCCATTCTCCACAGCGCCGCCATTGCTTTATTTAATAGTATTTGTCAGGCGCGTGCTCTGTGTGTTCCTGGCACCAGCAGGTAGCAGTGAACAGTACAGACCCTGCTCCGGTGCTTCGTGGATGGAGCAAAACAGAGCAGGGAGGGGCCGTGGGCAGCGGGGTTGGGGGCAGTAGTGATCAGTAGGGCGGTCGGAGCAGGGGCGGTGTTACTGGACCAGGTGTGGAGGAGGGCAGGAGGTGACCTTCATGGATCTGGATGGGGAGAATGTTTCAGACAAAGAATCTGGCAGAAGCACACTGGGCAGAGTGCAGGCGCAGATGAGGTCAGAGGTCACGGGGGGCCACATCACTTGGGGCACAGGAGAGATTTGACGTTATTCTGAGGAAGGCGTTACGTCTCTGGAACGATTTTAGCAGAAAGAGTAGCATCTGACTTAGATTTTAAAACATCACTCTGGATGCTTAGTGGAGTCGTCCTTCTGAAGTGCACATCTAACCTTCTTCCTTCACTCCTTAAAATCCCTTCACAAATCCCTATGAGCTACAAAATAATATCTAAATCCCCTTTCATGGCGTGGCCTCCCAGGCCTTCGTGATTTGGCCGCTTGAGTCCTTTCCAGCTTCCTGTCTCCCTGTTCTTTCCAACCTAAGTTTTATTTGTGCAGTGGTGAAATGCTTTTAGTTCTTCGTTCCCTGCAGGTGCCGTGCTGTTTCCCAGAACGCCCTCTCCACCTTCTCCACTTGGGCAACTTTCTGCTCATTCTTCAGTATTCAGCTGGCATTTCATCTCCACTTTGAGTTCTCTTCTCACACCAGCCACTGTTTGCACCTCTGTGGTTCGATCATTCCTAGTTCCGTAGAAGAGTCCCTTTGCAGGACTGGTGGCTCACATTCCTCTCTGCTCTGGGTGCGTTGCTGGAGGTCTGGCTACTGTCCCACCTCCGTGTGTTCATGGGCTCCGTGGCGCAAGAGATGAACCTCCTTTGGGGGTTGGACGAAGGCTAAAACGCATTTTCAGTGTTGTTGTTGTTTTCCCCATACAGACCACGTATAAAATGAAAGTAGAGAATGAAAATGATTGCAGTGAGACTCAGTGCCATCTCGTGGTCCCCGTGTCCTCGCTGAATTCTGACTACTGTGTTTCAGCCCAAGGCGAGTCCAAAGATTGGCTTGTTAAAACTGAGATGTCCAAAGAACTTTGTATCACCACTTCTGATGATAACCACATGGAAGGCAAGTTTCTGCTGTTTTGTCCTGAATACAGGGAGGGATAACTGAAATAGGGTAATTGAAAGAGGCAGGGGGTGCCTGGGTGGCTCAGTCGGTTGAGCGACTGCCTTCGGCTCAGGTCATGATCCTGGAGTCCCGGGATCGAGTCCCGCATCGGGCTCCCTGCTCGGCGGGGGGTCTGCTTCTCCCTCTGACGCTCTTCCCTCTCGTGCTCTCTGTCTCTCAGTCTCTCTCTCTCAAATAAATAAAATCTTTAAAAGAAAAAAGAAAAAAAGAGAAGAGGCAGTTTCAGTAAATCCCTGTTCTTTTAAAAATATTCAGTGGTTCCATTTCTCAGAGAAGTCCAAGAGTAAAAATAAGTTCATTTCTCAGGTATTAAGAGATCTAAAACAACCGATTTGGAAAGCTGTGTGATGACCTTTTGACCCAGGGAAGAAAAGAAACATAACGCCTAACACGCTATGCCTAAATGTCTGCATTTCAGGATTACACGTAGTGATGTAAAGCAGTTTATTATTTCCATATAGTAAGATGTTATGTACCCATTAGAATGTTCTCTATGGGGATGGTAAGTTTAAAAATTGAGTAGCAGAAATATTCATTGGCATGTGTGACATGAACTGGACAAACACTAAAAATTAGTATCCAAAAATAAATGTTGATAGGTTGTGGGTCATTTTTATAACACTTAAAAATAATTTTGTTTCATTTTCTTTTCTTTGTGTGTGTAGCGGGGGGATACATATGATAGAACTTTAGAACTGATATTCTCAAGTGGCAGGTACTTAACAAAAATTTGGCCTGTTCTCTGCACTTACAAAATTTAAATGTTCATTATAGATAATTTATAAAATACAAAAAGCCAGAAGAAATCAAAATTATCTGTAGTTCTGTCATCCAAATACTTAGTTACAGTTTGGGGGTTTTTTTCCTCATCCTATTCTATATAGCCATGATCATGTTGTATAGTACATAAAATTTTATGTACTGCTTGAAGATGTATTATAAATGTATTATAAATATTTTTCCATTTTAATTCATATACTTTATTAATATTATTTTTTAATCTCTGTAGACTGTTTCATCATGTAGAATTTATATTCTGTTTAATATTCCCCAATTTGGGACTTCCAGATTATTTATGACTTTCTCTGTGATAATGTGCTTTGGTAACTGTGTATATATATTTTTTCCAATTATGAGGCTGTTTTTAGAATATATTTTTTATTTATTTTAAAGATTTATTTATTTATTTTAGAGAGAAGAGAGCACAGATGGGAGGGGTAGAGGGAGAGAGAATCTCAAGCAGACTCCACGCTGAGCATGGAGCCTGAAGTGAGGCTCTATCTCACAACCCTGAGGTCACAACCTGAGCTAAAAGCAAGAGTCGGACACTTAGCCGACTGGACCACCCAGGCACCCCCCCAAATTTTATGATACAAACATCTCCCGTTTTTGTTTTGTTGTTGTTGTTGTTTAATATTTTATTTATTTATTTGAGAGGGAGAGAATGAGAGAGGGCACGAGAGGGAAGAGGGTCGGAGGGAGAAGCGGACTCCCTGCCGAGCAGGGAGCCTGATGTGGGACTCGATCCCGGGACTCCAGGATCATGACCTGAGCCGAAGGCAGTTGCTTAACCAGCTGAGCCACCTAGGCGCCCTGTTGTTGTTGTTTTTAAAGATTTTATTTGTTTGTCGGAGAGAGAGCACAAGCCAGGGGGAGCGGCAGGCAGGGGGAGAAGCAGGCTGCCCCGCTGAGCAGGGAGCCCGATGCGGGGCTCCATCCCAGGGCACTGGGATCATGACCTGAGCCACAGGTAGAGGCCTAACTGACTGAGCCACCCAGGCGTCCCTACAAATATCCTCTTGAAGAACGGGAATCTAGGCTGAAGAATTAGACCAAAATGCCTGAAACTTAATAACCTTTAGGCTATTATAACAAGGGTTTCAAATAGTATGTGACTTAAAATAATGCAGTGTATTATTATGCCATTTTTATGCCATTATTATGCCAATATCCCATTATGCCAACTTGCATTGTGTTATTTTGAAAAACTAAAATCCTAATTAATACACAAAATGTGAAATAATGCAAATGCCTCAGATTTATTTATTTTTTTTAAAGTCTGAATTATAAACTGGGCAGGTACTGTGGCCACATGGTGGCAGCACTGTGGCCCAGAAGCAGTATTCTCTGCCTGCCTGTGCCCTGCTTCTAAACGCAGTGCTGGCTTCAGTTAGGGAGTGCTTTTATCTTTCCTGTTGTAATAACTGCGTTTTTTCCACATCCTGTAATAGGTGTTATACACGTGTTCATTTAGTCGTCATTTCCAGAGTGACTATTCCAAAAAAGTAACTTTGGAATAGAAATTAAAGGTAATAAAATGCCAGTAAAGAGGCCAAACACCACCATGATACATAGAGTAGTGAAAATAGAATACTGAAGATTGTGCTTTGAAAATAAAAAGCAGCATTAGAGCGAAATACACAATAGTGATTATAGATGTATGTGCTCTGTAGCAGATCTTTCTTATTCTAAGTTATAACCTCTGGCTTGCGTTTCAGGGCCCCTAATCCCGGTGCGGCTTTTCCTGTCCGTGCATGCTGTGTGTGTGTCTGTGTGTCTTTACAAGTATTTGTGATCTTCAAATAAATATAAAATGGAACAAAATTCTGAGGAGTGGGATTAAATTATTTTAAGAGTTATAGTCATTGTCAGAATTTATTTCTGAAGGGGTGGATTTTTTAAAATTTTCTTTTGCCTTTTTAACGGAGAGAAAAGTGCAACTCTGGAAGCACCCTATGTTGGGGGTTTTAAGGAAATTGTTGTGAAAGTCTGTGTTAGCCACTTTGTATCATGGAGGGATAGGTGCAGAAGGTAGAGAATTGCAGAGCTGGGAAGAGCCCTTTTAGTATCTAGGACAGGTGTACCTAAGCTTTTTTCATCTTGCCCAACTTCTGTGGCAAGTGTTGTTTGCAACCCTGATCATATTATTTACCCAGTGAGCAAATCTAGTAAAGACTTCATACTATTTCATGGATATAGCAGTATTTCCATCTTAATTCTAACTTGTGATTTTTCCCTTTTTTTTAGATCCTGTTTGGATTCCAATTGTTGCCGTTCTCCTACTTTTTCTAGTACTTATCCTGGTATTTGTATATTGTTACACTAAGAAGATGAATCCGTTTAAGAGGGAGAGCATCATGTTACCCAAGTCCTTGGTAACATATTTAAATATTTTTCTTTAATTATTTACACTAAAGTGTTTATTTGGACCTTTTCAATAATTTTCTTAAAATTTTTTTTAAGTAGAATG